AGGTATAGTCAGGGTTCTCTCCTGCCAGCTCCATGGCCTGCTTTTTGAAGCGTGTGTGAGGATCCTAACACCCTCTGCCTGTTTGAGCCGTAGACATAGAAAAGGATTGAAGATGACTATAATGGATACATGATCATTTCATCAGCATGCATTGCCAGGCCATGCAATATGACCCGACTTCAGTGACACCTCATGAGAGGTTCTGGTCCAGTAAAGAAGGGCTGTCCCCTTCGCCAGTGACAGCAGCAGATCAAACCAGAGCAGCGCCATGCCCACGTCCCTAAAGAAGTACCCAGTTCCAGTGCGGGAAGAACATAAATGTCCCTGTGTGTATCAGTTTGCAGTGAGTAGGCATTGCACTTGCTGCAAGCAAAGAGAAAGATCATTCATGCTGTTTCTACACTGGATCTGGGCAGCCTGAGACAGCCTAAATGATGCTGCAGTCTTGCAACGGTTTTCGGCATTTGGATGGTCTTTAAATACGGTTCCTGAATCTTTGACCCCGGAAGGTCCCGGCAGGGGGTATATCTCTACCCCACCCCATATGATTAGAGCAACAACTCACATATCAAAGTGTTGAGCTGAAAACTGTGTCATTGCCACAAATGGAAGTGACAATCTGTATCATTCCTGAATCTGTACTTCTTTCCAAAATGGTAACTTCTACCCAAAGAATTCTTTATATACTGTGTAACAACAGATGAAATTGAACCTGCAGGTATGTGCATGAATTTGAAAGAAGAGTATCTTTCAATGCAATTCAATGTTTTTATTCTACTTAATGCATCAATTTCCAATGGTTTATTTTGACATAGAGTCAGAGTCAGACCATTAAAGAAAATCTATTTCTTTGAGATTGAATGCAAGCATTTGGGTCAGACATCAGATGTTTTGAACACTTTAAGCTTCTATCATTTCTCCCACCCTGATAATGAGGCAGCATGTTAAATTTACTATCATACTTTATTCTTGAAGGCTTTAAGGAGATGTGTAGGTGGAGAAGCACGTGATGGATGAACAAGGCCAAATGTGGGCGATCTACTGTGTCATGACTTAGGTGCACAGGACCTTTAGTAATCAATAATAACAAATGTTCTGTCTGAATCATAGATAAACAAATGAGTAATGGAAGAAATTGGAAAATAAGTAAAGCTTTCACAGACACTCAAATTTATTTTATAGTTTGTAAGGGTTTTGCGATTTTTATACTTATAAACAAAAGCTGCTGTTCCACCAGTATCTGTGTAGTTAGAATGCCAAGATACCCTATTGTGGCAGCATTGAGGTAAAAATGTGCACAGTTCTGCCTCCAAGTTGAAAAATTACATGGAATTTCTTATTGTATTGGAGAATATAAATAAAAATACTCTTTTAGGACCAGTGGTATTGCTTATCTCTAATTCTACAATTTGCACACTGTTGAACAAGGTGTAACTATTTTTTACAGTGAGACTGGACATAGAATTCAATCTTGGTGGTGGATTGGAGCATCATTCCCATGTTGCCTCATTAAGGAAGGCCTAACAAAATTAAGTGCCCATCAGACCTGACCAGCACCAAGCATTCTTCAGGTTTCAGGGATTCAGGGCCAGAAATCCTGGCTGCTGGGAGCTGCCAGCCAATCAAAGACTGGAATCTCTTCAATGGCCTGTCAGCACCATTGGGAGTGGTGTCACCTGGTGCTAAACCACCCAAGATAGGGGAAATGATTGTCGAGCAACCCAGCCCATAGGTGAGGGATGGGACTCATGGGGAGAGTGTTACTGGCTTGATTGTTGAATCGTTGGTCAGCAGAAGAAGCAGACAAGTTGGAATTCAGTAGGACGTGGTGTCGCTTCCTGATGCCAGGTTGTGATAAATATTAAAAAAAATTAGTATAATTACTGAGTTATGGCAGGATTTGTTTGTTGGTCTCCTTGTTCCCCACTTAGTGTTACACCAGCCCCAGTTCAAACCCAGATTTTGTGAGGATACTGTTGAGAGTAGATCTCAAATATCTTAGCTTCAGTACAGTTTGGAGACAGATTGGAACCCATGTCACAAGTCTCACTGCCTCATTCGTATGAAGACCCACCTGAAATTGTCAGATTAATGGAAAAGAGTTCAAGGAACTTGATAGGAAGAATGAACTTAAACAAGTCCGTCTGATAAAAACTGAGGAGAAGCGTTGCTCTTGATTACTAAATCTTTATACATTAAGTAATTTGACTACTGTTTCCTCAAAGAACTTTGCATTGTTTAAAATTCTGATGAAAGCAGTTCTGAAATATCAAACTGCAATTTTCTGAATATTGACACCACTATCAGTCTTTGTTGCTCAAAGAAGAAACAAGAATGCAAATTACCAGAGGAAAAAATATTAGATTTCATCTATTTAGTTTTATTTTATGCTGAAGGACTGGATACAGGAATTGGTTAAACTATTGCCCTTCCAATGTCAGACTTAGACTGAATGGATGAATGTCTCCATTTGAAATGAGATGATTTGGGATAGTCTTAATAGCTCAAAATAAGTGTGAATCCACAGAATAAACCTTTGCTTACTTCAGTTGTATTAAATACGAGGTAGACCATCACATTCATGAGTTCCTCTCAGCAGCCTCTCTGCTTTCTGCTCATTATTACATTTCTAGTTAAATCTTTCAGTACACTGTTTCAATATTTCAGATTCAGCCTTTCAAATAGCATTTATTTTATCTTTGCTCAATGTTATTAATCTTCAGCCATAAGAATAACATTCATGCCTGTGAATTCTCATGCCTGATTCAGAGAAGAGCTAGCGTACAAATTCAGCAGGTAATCAGGAAGGCAAATGGAATGGTGTCTTTTATTTCAAAGAGTATGGAGTATGCAAATAAGAAGGTCTTTCTAAAGCAGTACAAGGCAGTAGTCAGACCACAACTGGGATACTCTGAACACTGTTAGTCCCGTAATCTAAGGAAAGACTGGAGGCAGTCCGGATTATATTCACTGGGGTGATCTTGGTTGTGGAGGGATTTTCTTATGAGGAAAGGCCAAGTAAGTTGAGCTTGTACTCTATGGAATTTAGAAGAATGAGAAGAGACCTTAATGAAACATACAGGATTCTTAGGGGGCTTGACAAGGTAGATGCACAGAGATTGTCTCACCTTGTGGCAGAATCTAGGTCCAGATAGCATCATCTCACAATTAGGGGTCACCCATTTAAGACAGAGATGAGAAGGATTTTTTTTCTTTTAGAGGGTAGTCAATCTGTGGAATTCTGAAAAATAGAACCAAGGAGTGGTTACAGCACTGAACGCACTCTATTGAAGACCTAACAACAGACTTCTTTCTGTGCACGTTGAACATTCTATACTTCAGTAGATAACATGCTTCACTATTGTTGTAGCTTGTGATTTTGTTAAATTAAATTCTCAAGTTTAAATCATTAGCACCTTATCAGTTCATTTTACATGTTGTTTCGTAATTTGTAGCACAAAACAACATGGCATGAAGTATGCCAATTTCCGGTTAAGTCCTTCAAATCAGCATTGAATTCCATTCGGCAGCAAGTTAAATTCAGGGTAAACCCCATAGTGCTGCAGAATAACAATGCACTGTGCTTTGGTTGGGTTTGTAGTACTGAAGAAATGTGTTACTTTATTAACTGCAGACTTAATTCCAAAAGGGAGGGATTGTATTCTGGAGATTGGTACAAAAGGTAATTTGGTACAAAATTGTAGGTTAATTGGTACAAAAGTGTAGTGCAGGGAGAAGAATCTTTTTTTTAAATGGCAGAAGTGTTTGAAACTTTCAAAAACTGAAATATAAGCCACTTTCTAACAGAGAATGTAAGTAAGTATTCAATCTCTGTGAAATTATTGTTATTTGATGATGACATACGGAAGCTCAGAACTATTGAGTTATTATGAGTCACAGATAGTAGGAACTGCATATGCTGGTGAATCCGAGACAACAAGGTGCAGGGCTGGATGAACACAGCAGGTCAAGCAGCATCATAGGAGCAGAGAGGCTGACGTTTCAGGCCTTGACCCTTCATCAGAAAAGGGGGAGGGGAAGGGGGTTTTGAAATAAATAGGGAGAGAGTGGGAGGCGGATAGAAGATGGATAGAGGAGAGGATAGGTGGAGAGGAAACAAACAGGTCGAAGAGGCGGGGATGGGGCCAGTAAAGGTGAGTGTAGGTGGGGAGTTAGGAAGGGGATAGGTCAGTCCAGGGAGGACGGACAGGTCAAGGGGGCGGGATGAAGTTGGTCGGTAGGAGATGGAGGTGCGGCTTGAGGTGGGAGGAGGGGATAGGTGGGAGGAAGAACAGGTTAGGGAGGCGGGGACGAGCTGGACTGGTTTTGGGATGCGGTAGGGGGAGGGGAGATTTTGAAACTTGTGAAATCCACGTTGATACCATTGGGCTGCAGGGTTCCCAAGCGAAATATGAGTTGCTGTTCCTGCAACCTTCGGGTGACACCGTTGTGGCACTGCAGGAGTCCCAGGATGGACATGTCGTCTGAGGAATGGGAGGAGGAGTTGAAATGGTTCGCGACTGGGAGGTGCAGTTGTTTATTGCGAACCGAGCGTAGGTGTTCTGCAAAGCGGTCCCGGAGCCTCCGCTTGGTTTCCCCGATGTAGAGGAAGCCACACCGGGTACAGCGGATGCAGTATACCACATTGGCAGATGTGCAGGTGAACATCTGCTTGATGTGGAAAGTCTTCTTGGGGCCTGGGATGGGGGTGAGGGAGGAGGTATGGGGGCAGGTGTAGCACTTCCTGCGGTTGCAGGGAAAAGTGCCGGGTATGGTGGAGCTGGAGGGGAGTGTGGAGCGGACAAGGGAGTCACGGCAGCCTCTCTGCTCCTATGATGCTGCTTGACCTGCTGTGTTCATCCAGCCCTGCTCCTTGTTGTCTCAGTTATTATGAGTGTTTTTAGATACTCGTCTGTGTGGATGCAAACAAAAAACTAAATATTTATTAACTGGTATTGTTATAAACTGGTATTTAAAATTCACTTGTCTTTAAATTACAGCTCTGCTTTATGCAACTATCTTTGGAAACGTCACCACAATCTTCCAGCAGATGTATGCTAACACCAATCGCTACCATGAAATGGTAAACAATGTGCGTGATTTTCTCAAACTTTACCAAGTTCCCAAAGGACTCAGTGAGCGAGTTATGGATTATATTGTGTCAACATGGTCTATGTCTAAAGGGATCGACACAGAGAAGGTACGAGCATATGAGGTAAACTGTTCAAAGGCCCTCAAGCACCAATGTTCATTTAATCATGCTTACATCTAGGTATAATCAAAGTTAAATTTAATTGTCAAGTAGGCAGTGCACTAACTTGTGAAATTCATATTGGAAAATAATTAATGTTTAGGGCATTTTAAGTCATAGTGGGAATATAGTCTATTTTTAGTTTGAATCGACAGATTTCTCTTCCCTTAATGTTTCCCTTAATTTAAATAATAGCTGCATTGTTGCAGGTTTTAAACAAAAAAATCTTTCCAAAACAATTTGCTGTAAATGTGTAGTTCTTTATTTGTTGGAATTAGTTCAGCGAAATGCAAAAAACTACTGACATTTTGATTTAGAGCAGTACCTGAATACATTGTAACCCCTCCATGAGGTGTAGATGTGCCATCACAGTCTTCTAATTAAAGTGACATTTGAGATTACAAGTAAAACCTGTTACTGCTTTCTAGAATATAGACCATTTTTATATTTTGGAAGGGAGAGATGACAATTCAAGTAACAACAACAATTTACATGTTATCACCCAGATTTTTTGCCTCCTCAGGAGAATTAATGTAACAGAACAAAGATATTATTGTTGCTCAAAACAGCCTAATTTTAAATCTAGAATGGTGAAATTAACCAGACCACATATCTCTGAAGCAAATATTTACTGCTTTTAGCTAAAAGAAAATATTTGTGTAGGAGAGGTACAATTTTAATCACTTAACAATTTAATCATCTAAATGCAATACAGATACATTAAGACTGCATAAAGAAGCACAATTATTTTCTAGAGTTCTGCTTTCAAAGTCCACTCCAGGCATGTCTTGACTTAAGAAATGCAATATTGATTTTCTGCTTTATACCCAATGCTGTAACAATTTTATGTTAGGTTATCAAAAGATGGGCTTTTCAGGTGTTTATGTACTCATGAGCTAGGTTTCTGACGAAGTCCCACTGCCTGGACCAAAGTCGAGAGCTTGTGAGCAGCAGAGCATTTTATTTTATTAGCAGCAGCCAATTGTAAGGTTCCTGACTCTGGGTAAAAATCCATGATGACAAGAAGATATCGGGCTTCTGACCTGACTCCTTCCTGCACCATTCTTCCTATTTCCCAGCTTGTCTCCAAAAGTCTGAAAAATCCAAACTTGATGCAACCAATCCAAGGCTATGACGATTCTAAGAGCAAGTGAAACCCTATTAAAAATAAATGCAAATTGGACAATGTTTGAAGTAAGCAGTGGAACAATCAATATTTCTTCTAAGGTGGCAATGCTTTTACTGATTATTTTTTAAATATCAAATGCAAAGCTGTGATTGGTTGGTGCTGATTTTATTCTGATCTCAGCATTACAACAAAAACCCAATGCAGGCTTGGAAAGTTTAATTTATCTTGATATTAGGGATTGTAGCTCAGACTCAAGCTCCTGTGCTTATTTATTACTCAATATGATTTTAAGGATATGGTTTTGTATGCTTTGGATAGATTTTCTTTTATTTTTGAACCATTCCTGTATCAAGGAGAAATAACCTTCTTGCTTTGTACTCACGCAACAATTTAATCATTTTAAAGTATTACAGATACACCAAGGTGATGTTTGAGGAAGCCCAATTATTTTCAGGATTGCTGCTCTCACAGTCACCTACAGTCGTGCCTTGACTTAAGAAATGCAATAAGTAGTTAATAAAGAATAGTGCAAAATCAAACTAATGTATCAGGGTTAATTAGTGCAAGGGCCATTTAATTCTGCCACTCAACCAGCAATTTGATGATACTCTGCCTTTCCCTTTAAGTAAATATTCCATCTAGTTTGACAGGTAGCGGGCTCAGTTGTGTTGGTTTTCTCATTGCAATTCATCTTACATTCGCCAAACCGGCGCAAAGAAATTGATTATCTGTGATCTATTGCAGTTATCGGCAGCTAGAGGCCGATCACGCATCAAGGTGAATTTATCATCATTGGGAGTTTTCACTAGTTACACCTAATTGAAGAAGATCTAAAAATTAAGTTTGTTTTTATCGACACTGGAACACTAACATGCACATTTTGAAAAGTTTTCATTTCAACATCATTTTAATTTCCCCACAAGCAGACAGTTATTCTCCAATACAACTAGAAAATGTTTATCTTTTTAAAGCATCATTTAAAGTCGCTTAAAATCTGATTACTTGCAGATGGTGGATAGAAAAGTTACAGCACAGAAGAAGTCCATTCAACCCATCATAACTGCGCAAGCCACAGGAAAAGCTAGCTGCTCATTCAAATCCCATTTCTCAGTAGCCTTACTGGTTACAACATTTCAGATGCAGAATCAGAGGGTGTTTTAAATGATTGACAATTGCTGCCTCCGTACCAAACCATGCAGTAAATTGCAGACTCCCATCGCACTGTGGGCGAAAATGTTTTCTTCTCGTGTCCCCTCAATCCTTCTAACAATAACCTTAAATTTACATTCAAGAGCACATTGGATGATTAATTAAATAGAAACAATGAGCAGGGCATTAGTGCTAAGTTAAAATGCTCAGAGAGCTAATGGAGGCACTGTGGGACAATGGCCTCCTACTCTGTAATAATTTTGTGAATCTGAAATGTAACTCTTTACTACGGGACACAGGCCTTTCTTGTCTATTCAATCTTAAGTCCCTCATTATTTTGACTGTCAACTAAGACACCCCTCATCTTCCTCTGTTCTAAGGAAAACAACCCTAACCTATCCAATTTTCTGTTATAACCAATATGCCTGTAAATCTCCTGTGTGTTGTCTCCACAGTGTTGAGATTTGGTGTTGAGATGTGGCCTAACTAGAATTGGACACAAAATTCTACCTGTAGCCCAAGCAGCATTTTATAGAGTTCCAGCATGACACTCCTGCTTTTATCTTCTATACCTCATCCAATAAAGAAGGTTGCTAGATGAGAAATCTGAAGACCTAGGTAATATTCTGGAGATTTGTATTCTAATCCTACCATGGCAGATGGTGGAATTTGAATTCAATGGAAGAGAAATCTGGAATTAGAATTTAAATGATGACCATGATCAGTAGTCATTTACAAAAAGACTCTGGCTCACTAATGTTCTTTAGGGAAGGAAACTGCCTGGTCTGTATTTGGCTGCAGACCCACAGAAATGTAATTGACTCTGAAATGGCCTAGCAAGCCACCAGTTATTATCCAAGTGTTACTAGGGATTTGTAATAAATGCTGGCCTAGCCAGCCACACCCACATCCCATGAGTGAATTGAATAATACCATCTTTACCAACTTATCTACCACCTTCAAGGACTGTTGGACATGCACTCCATGGTTTCATTTACTCCTGTGAATATCCACACATTTATTGCCTATTCCCTAGACTTGTTTTACCTCCTTAAATACATTACTCACAGTTCTCCAGATTGAGTTCCACTTGTCACTTTTCTGCCCATTCAACCAATCCATTGATATTATTTTGGAGTAGACAGCTATCAGTTTTACTGTCAACTACGTGGTCAATTTCATCTGCAAATTTCCCAATCACAAGTCCCACATTAAAGTCCAAATCGTTGCTATCCACAACAAATGGGGAGAATCCGAACACTGAGTCCTGTGGAACACCACTGCTTTCCATTTGTAAAAACATCTATTGACCGTTATGAGATAACAAGGTGTAGAGCTGGATGAACACAGCAGGCCAAGCAGCATCAGAGGAGCAGGAAAGCTGATGTTTCGGGTCTAGACATCAGCCAATTCTGGATCAATGTTATCACTCTTAATCACATAAAGGAATACTTTGTGAAGCAATTTAGAAAGATACTTTTTAACAATAACTCAATAAAGCTGGCTTATTGTATATTTTGCATTCAGCGATATACAAATAAGAGTTTGTGTTGGAGACTGAGACATGGCTTTGTTCTTCATAATATTTAAACAGAGGAAATTTCAACTTGTTCAGTTCTTAGTTTTGGACAAGCTGTCAGATAATTTAATAAAGATGAGGAATTATGGGAGACAGTGGTGACAGCTAGACATGTGAAAACTGACGCTGTGTTTTTAGATGATGTTGTTGAGGGGAGGTATGTAGATCAGAAAGAAAGATTCAAGTTTTATGGTGCCTTGCATGACTACTAGATGTTTCGAACCGTTTTCCGAACAATGAAGCAGTTGTGAAATATAATGTAGAAAACATGCCAAATAACTTGTGCACAGCAAGCTCCCATAAACAGCATTGAGACAATAAGCAGAAAATTTGTTTTTGTTATATGAAGGGATAATATTGCCCAGAGCTCCAGTTTAACTACCCAGCCCTCTTTGAAATCGTGCCGTGGGATTTTTTTACATCTGAGAGTGCAGAGATAGTCGTGGTTTAACATCTCATCTGAAGACAGAGATCTGCACTTCCTCGAGATCACCCTCGAGTGTCAGCTTAGACTTTTGTGCGCAACATTTGAACTGAAACACACAGCTTTCAGACTCAAGTGAGAATGTTACCAACTGAACCATAACTGGCACGAGAAGCAGGAGCAGGCCAGAATAGTCATCTGGGGAATGCCAGAGTTTGCAGTGCACAAAATCATTGCAGATAACTTTCTGGTGACAGGTAATAAGGTAACCAAGTACTTGGTCAACAACCACTTGGTCAACTGTGGAACACTGTTCGAGCAAGATGCTGTGCTCAACTTTATCAAACGTGACAGACAATTTAAGAAGGAGGAGTTCTCTTTGGCACCGTCACATAAAATGTCATTGGTGTAGTAATTATAACGAGGCCAGCGAGGTGGACCTTATAGAATATGATTTCCCTGATTGGGATTGTTAATCTGGTTAAACAGGCATGTCAGACATCCTGTTTACTCTGAGAGCTGGCTCTGCAGGAAATGGATCAATGTCAAGCACTCTCCATGCAGAAATAAAGGATGACTTGCTGATGGGATACTAGCCTCTGTGGAGTTATTGCAGTGGTGATGAGAGGAAAGCACGCTCCTGAAGAAATTCACTTACAAAAGTCATC